TTCCACCTCTAGGTGGTGGTGGTGGCATAGGTTATGAAGCTAATCCCGGAGTTCCACCAGCAACCATGAGTGGTTCCATGATGGGAAGCGACATGGTAATGTATCCTATGGGACGTAATACCAAGGATGCTCTCATTTTCATGACTTTACATGTGTGTGTTTGTTTTTTTTTTTTCCTTCCCATTTGTTTTAAAGTAGGTAACTGGACCTCTTAGTTCCCCCATACATGTAAATATGTGAATCTGAGGAAAACTTTGGCAACGTAGAAGAAATCTGTGGCAACCTAAACAGATAAGATTGCCAATGAGGAATCAATGCTTTTAGTAATACGGGAATTACCTTTGGCTGTGAATAGATTTAGGTGTTTTTCATTGTGTTGCTTGTGCACTTTTGAACTCCAGTGCATGGCAAATCCAAATTCTGGGTGTTAGATAATGCATATGATTATTCTATACCCAAGTGAGTGATCAGATGGCAAAGTCATTCATAAAGCTGGTATTTGCCATAAATAGGAATCAAACTTGTTTGTAGCTTTAGGCATGTTTTAGCATTATGTAGGACTTTGACCTATACCTGGTGTGGCTTCTGTCCCATGAAAAGGGAATTGTTTAGTGCTTTGACTCGTCGTTTTCTACCTGTTGGGCCTGTCTGTAGTACACCTGAAATAAACTGGCATCTATTTTCCTAGAGGAACAAAAGTCAATTTTAAGCATACTTATGGTGTGCAGTTGATTTGAACCTTCTTGAGGGTGTAAATGTTTTAGCTGTACAGACAGCCTGTTAGATGCTTTAGAACAATCACAGTGAATTGGTATGAGTGGTTGTATCAGGGCTTTACAAATCATTAGGACTGAATTTTGGTGGGTGTAGGAAAGTACATTTTCACAGCTGAATTGAGTCTGATTAATTGACCTGTAGGCTTGGACAAAGGAGCTTCCTGTATAGCTCACAAGATTTATTTTGTAACTAGAAACCTTTAGTATGATACCTAACCTGTTCAAAATCAGCCTATGACTTTGACTTTGAGAATTAAAGTTAGACAGCACTTCTCCGTCTTTTGTCTAACATCAAGTGAGAATTAGAATGGATGGGTTAAATGCACTATTAGCTTTCATGGAATTGAATTTTTAAAGTACTTGGGTTGCATTTTGGCTTAAATGTTTCAGACAGATGGTTAGTCATACATTAAGTTTGTAGACACAAGTTTGACATGATGTTGCCATAGTTGAGAATCTACATTATCTAGATAAGTACCAAGTTCTCCATTGAAACTCCAGAAAAACCCAGATTTCCCTTTTTAGTTGGAGATACATAAAGTACAGCACATAAAACCCTGTAACTTTTAAGATTTTCAGAAGTATTGAAGTTAAGTCTTACCAAGTAATCTTAGCAGTGTTGTATTTTTTTTAAAAAGTGCTGAGAAATTGGGGAGACAGTTAAATACTGCTGCCTTTTTAGTTTTTTTCCCCCTCTCTGGAATAATACTTTAGGTAATTGGGCTATTTTAAGAGTGTAGGCTGCTCTATACTTATAGGGATCTCTTTGGGTACATCATGTTTCTAATTTGAGTCAAAGTACCTAAAAGTACCTGGAATAAGGAAGGCACAAACTATTTAATGAGATGTATAAACAGTAAAGTGTCAGTGTACTTCTCAAAGACTTTAAGGGAAAAACTGGGCTGTTACACAGTTGGGCTGTTTGTTCAGTCACTTTGCAACAATGTAGAATAGTACTGTGAACATAATTGTCTGGTTTTTGTAGTGATGGCTCTGAAGGGTAGTCCACCTGTGAGAATATGGCAACACAAGGTTTTTGATAAGTTACTGTGCCGGTTAAGTGACTAAATCTGTTTAGTTTTTTATGCTTTTTCTTTTTGTAGTCTGGTAGCATTTTATTAAAACTTTCAACCTTTTAAAGATTTCTGCAACTTAGCAGATGTGTCTTAAGATCTTGAAAAGCACAAGGTTGTTATGCAGCACATGCCACTAACTGGTGAGTAGGTCTTTTGTCATTTCATTTAGTGAATTGACTGTTGGGTTAGGCTTGTTAGGGTTACTTGGAGATTAAATTTTCTGTTCAGACCTTGAAAGTGAGTTTGCAAGCTTTTTTCAGTGGATTAATCTGATGTGAAATTTTTTAGAACTCACTTTGGAATGGATTTTCACATCTGCACTAATTCTTAAATTTTTTAGCACTACAGGGAAGATCTGTTCTTTGAAACAGGTGTATGAGAATGGCTCAAGTGGGAACATACCACAAGGCATGTATTATCGTAAACTAATTTTCAAATTACCCTTTTTTCCTTTCTATGTTCCCGGTACCTGTGGATCGACTCATTGGTGATTGTATCGACGAACGTTGACTACGGAACCTTCTAAAATATTTACTTAACACACATGGACATCAACTACATATAATGAACTGTTATTACTGTTCCAATAGCGTACTGAGCGCTTTGGGCAGGGAGGTGCGGGGCCTGTGGGTGGCCAGGGTCCTAGAGGAATGGGGCCTGGAACTCCAGCAGGATATGGTAGAG